CAGGAATTACAATTCCATCATTCTCTTCTTTGTCTCTTTCATTTTCACTTCCGAGACCAGCTCCACTGTGGCATGGTTTCTTTCGTAATGGGGGATGTGGTTGCTCACAACTCCTTCACAAGTGCCTTCTACATGTCATCAGAGAGTCTTGCTTATTTTGGAGCCAGAGATTAAAGAACGCTGACGAAGTGTCATGTTGATGCTAATCTAAGTGAGGCCAGAACACAGACTGAAGTCAGCAGAGTTCTAGAATGAACTCAGCTTGCTCCAAAGCTGGTATCCTATGGAACTTCTGAGAGAACATGGAAGAGGAGTGTTTCTAGAAGGATGGACCAGACTGAGTTAGTTATATTTATCTGAGAAACCTCCAAATACATTTACTACTAATCTCTCTTATACATTTAACTCTTACAGTAGATAAGTAATCATGGGATATTTTCCAAGAATATTCGGCTCACATGTTCCAGATCTCTATAGCCTGTTAAAGGGGATCATTTGGCATTATCTTATCAGTGCTCTTTAACACTGTTTATTCCATTATAGTGCAGTTGTCTTTGTTTTTATTTTTTATTTCTTTTTAGATTAACTTGTTTTACCTAAGGTGTATAGGTGTTTTGGTTGCATGTATATCTGTGTACCGTGTGTGTTTGGTGTTCCGGTAACTAAGAGAGCACCAGATCCTTTAGAACTGGAGTTTTGGGTGGTTGTGACATGCCAAGTGGGTGCTAGGAGCTGTACCTTGATCCTCTGCAAGATAACAAAGTGTTCTTAACCATTAAGCCATCTGTACACTCTCAATCTTTTTATACAGTGGTAGATACATGGAAAATGCATATACACCAATTTTTCTAAATAGAGAATCACATTTTAAGTGGACTAGGTAGTTTACTATTTAAACAACCGAGAGAGAGAGAGAAAGAGAGAGAGAGGCAGCTTGGCTTACAATGTTGAAACAGTCTCAGAGTTTACCTGGGGTTTGAGTACAGATTTTGTATTAGGCCTGCTTAAATTGGAAGGAGCCCTATTTAGGATGTCAAACACATACACATTTAATGTACTGCTCTGTCAATCTGATGCCTGAAAACTAATATTTAGTTGTATCAATGTGTTCTCTGGTCACTGCAGTTATGGCATTCCCTTGTGATCCAAAGAACTTGGGTTCCAGTCTCTTCCCTTTTTATTAAAGGGGGAGCTTTGAATAAGGTGCATACACTTGCTAAGCCTCATATTCATCCTCTGAAAAATTGGGGTTGTAATATTGGCTATTATTCCTTACAATGGTAATAGGAAATCCAAAAGCAGATAAGCCTATGAAAAATAGGCTAATCTATACATTGCGGTAGTTGTTTGAAAATTTCTTCCCCCCATATACTTCCATGTTTGAATGCTTGGTCCCCAGTTAGTGGAACTGTTTGGGAGGAATTAGGAGGTGTGGTCTTGCTGGAGTAGGTGTGGCCTTTGGAGGAGGTTTTAAAAGTTCATGCTAGTCCAGTCTCACTCTCTCTGCTTGCAACTTGTGGATCAGATGTGAGTACTTAGCTACTGCTCCAATACTATGTCTGCTTGCCCACTATGCTCCCTACCATAATGGAAACATACTAATCCTCTGAAACTGTAAGCAAGCCCCCAAATACATGCTTTTCAGGTTGCCTTGGTCATGACGCCTCTTCACAGCAATAGAACAGTAACTAAAACAATTGCTGTAAGACACTAATACTAATAATGTGACATCTAATGATTTTTTGATATTATATGGTTATTACCTAGGATCATGCTATATGTTCTCTCTTATCTTCTATATTAGTCTATTGAAATTGTCTTAGCAAAAACATCAGCTCTTTGGAGGGTTAAACAATATGAATATATTTCTATATTGTTCTGGAGGCTAGAAGTTCAAAATCAAGGTTTTGGCAGGTTTGTTTCGTTCTGAGGCCTTTCTTCTTGGCCTTACAAATGGCCAGTTTTGTGCTATATCCCACATGGCTTTGCTTCTATGCATGGTTTCTCTTCCTCTTCTTACAAGGACATGAATCCTTTGGGCAAAGATTCTACCCTTAGAAAGGCTCTTTCTCTGAGTACAGTCACATTAAGAGGTATTGTTTCCTCACATAAATTTGTGGGTAAAATATAGTTCAATACAAACCATCCAATAATAATCAATCAACAGCTTCCCCAGAAAGATTATGGCTATGACTTCAAAGTATCTTCTAAAAGAGAAAAAGAAAATATACAATATGAAAAAAAAACCCCACTAATTCTAAAAACTTGAAAATGTCACCAATTTCTCACTACTAGAAATGTACAATATAGGACCCCCAAAGTGGTTCAAGGAATGAATGCAGAATTGGGAAAATATGGGGGTGAATGAGACAATGAATAAAAGTGTAGCTTCTCAAACAATAATGAAATAAACGTGCACAAATGGCATCTCACCATACTGGCTGCCCACAGAGCAACCCGGTAGGTTTATTGAAAACATCTACCTTTCATCAGTGATCAACCTGAATAGATGGCAGCCAGTCATGACCACCAAATGAAGTCCAAGCCAGAGTACACATTCCTCAAGCTCCTCAAGCCTCAGATGGCAAATAGGCTCTGTTCCTGTGAGACTAGCCTTGATGAAATTATTCCATACTGACTTCCTGTAAAGTCAGGAAGTGAGAAGATCAGCGTTGAGGAAGAAAACATCAGAATCATAGAGAATAATGACAAAGGATGGAAATAAAGTGACTCCTACAGAGAGGATATATTATAGACCTTAGAGACTTGCCTCAAGGTCCTGGGAATATCTCCAGGTGTATTCATATAATCCAATGGTTCTCAACCTTTCTAGTGCTGTGACCCTTTAATACAGTTCCTCATGTGGTGGTGACCCCAAACCATAATATTATTTTGTTGTTACTTCACAACTATAATTTTGCTACTGTTATGAATTGTAATGTTAATATGTGATATGCAAGATATTTGATATCTGATCCCTGTGAAAGGGTCGTTCAATCCCCCCAAAGGGGGTCATAACTCACAGGTTGAGAACCACTGATACAATCAGTCACTCTTAAAGGCAAACTGGCCTACAGAATGATTGCATAGATACAGGAGTTTCTAGATCCCGAATCTCAAGCATTTTTCTCATCAAGCTAGTAGTTTAATTAAAAGGTTGCTTGTCTATTTGTCACAGTGTCCTTGGTCTATCCACAGAAAGAGGGTATGACAAAAGGCCAGGTGCACGGAGTCATAGAAGTTTGAGACCAACGTTGAGTAAAGATGTGTAGCGTGCCCCAAATATCATTCATGGAATTGTGTGATGGATATGTCTGAGGCAGAATAGATAGATACCAAACAGTAGCGAGAGGACAGCTGGGCTGCACTGAGAGAGTCATTGCTACCTTCTGCTTTCGTTGCCAGACTCAGCAGAGTTTGGCTCAGCAGAGTTTAGCATATGACTGATTCTTAGCTTAGTTGGAATGAAGGAGGAACTGTAGCTCTTCCCCTGGCAAAAATTTTAGAGAAAGTATTTGGTGCTGTTTTTGTGATATTCTCCACCACAATGTGTCTACACTTTATTCCTTCATTACCCTGGTTGCAGCAGACTGCTCTAGAATCTTTCTCCCTCTGTCCCTACCAATAGACTTCTGACTAGATTTTTTTCATATAGGTATATCTGTTTATTTCAGATTCAATTAGCTTAAAATCTGAAATAATTTATTCATAAGGCACATCTAAATCCAAACAAATAAGTAGTGATCACGAGTCTTGGAGTCATTTTATAAGAGAGATGAGAGGACAGTTGGTAAAATTTTAAATGGATGTAAATGTGGGCATTGAGGAAGGGTCAGCTTGCTGGGCTAGTCCATAGGTCTTGGAGGCTTAACGTCTGATCTTGGAGAATGTTGTAATGCAAGATCTATCTTCATCCTTGCAGAACTTGGAACTTGTTTTGTTTACCACCCAAGAATGAGTAGGATTAGCAGAAATGGCCTCCAGCTCACCTCAAAGACATGGTGTAAATCAAACTGTCCACTAATCAGTTTATCCCCAATACCGTACCAACTGCGCCAGTTAGACTGCTTCCAGCCAGCACATTTCTGCCAAACAAGAAAACTTATCGGTGATCATAAAACCAGAATCTGAATCTGAGAATTTTGACCTAAAGCCTGAGATTCAGGTGCCAGGAGGACTGCACCTTGAGAAGTGCCCGCTCCTATGCAGTTTCTTGGATACTGTGCCCACCACATGCTTTGCACATTTATTGCAAACAGAGCTCTTTCCTGATACATTTTCCCCAAAGACCATGAAAACTTCAATCCATTAAGAATCAAGAAATTGTTTGGAAACTTTGCTTGGCACGAAGGTTCTGACGTACCACACACTTCAGAATTAATTCTCAGAGAAACCCTACTTTCTCCCCAATTTCAAAGGTTTTTTTTTGAGCACCCCAGTTTTTCACACTACCACCTCCCCATCTAGTATTTCTTTGGGGGTGGGAACTGAGAAAGCTCATTGAGGCATTGTCGAGACCTGGCTTCCAATTTAAGCTGAGTGAACATGGGCAAATCACCTAACGTTTCTGAGCATGCTTCCTCGTCTGGAAAACGGCTCTGACATAGCTTTGAAAGCTTTGTTAGGATTAATTACAATAATGTTTGTGAACCACTTGGCACTCAGGCAAGCCCTCACTCACAGAAAGCAACAATAAATGTGACTATTAGTCACCATCTCTCACTCCTTTATCCAGCTTTCCTTCGCTGAGCACCTACTGAATGGGCCTGGCCTCATGTTAGGCCAGAAATCCACAGAGTAATTACTACTACTGAATATTAAATTTAGCTCCTAGCTTCCTGGCTGCCAAAGCCCAAGGCCCAAAGGGCCAAATGAATTATTGCCAAGGGTTTTTTTTCCCCCAGAATTCAAGTTCATTTGATCCTAAGATACATGCATAGGCAGTTCAGGATAAGAAGGCTTAAGCTCTGAGGAATGACTATCTAATTTTGGGCTTTCAGATGCTGAGACATCAGACAAGGATGACATTCAAGTACTTATCTCAATGGGCCACCCTTGGTAGTAGCATGAATAGCCAATGTGAACAATACCCCAGCCTTCTCTACAAATCTGATGGAGCAGGTAACTATTGAGCATGGCATTCTTTGACAATAGGACTAGTTCTCTTGTTTGATGAGATGATGATGATTTCGGATAATATGGAAGTAAAGTTAGAACTATCGGTTGTTTCTTTACAGTTTTATATAGGACTTGTTTCAGAACTGAATTAACATAGCTAAGATACATGCATGCCTCCATCCAGCTTCTTTCATTGTGAGTAGGTCACATTAATAAGGAAGACGCAGGGCATCATCTCACCATATGCTGGCAGTCACTTTACTGGACTTGAGATAGAATCAAAGTAATTGCTCCATAAAGCAAAGCAGTTAGTAATAACCTAAACTCCAAAAGCCCTTTTATTTTCTGATTCATATCTTTAATCAATTTGCAACATGAAGCAATTGAGTTTTCCCTCTAGTTTCCCAATTGTTTGCTCAGAAGGACTGCTCCACTGCCTTTGACTGACGTGACATTATTGCATTTATATTGACTTTTACAGCAGATTTTACAACATTTGAGGTGCATACGTTACAAGAAAATGTAGCACGGGAACATTTGAAGATGAAAGTAAGCCATAAAGAGAGTACCTAGCTACAGTGTCTGCCATTTGCTGTATGAGGAAATTACAAATGGAGACTAGCAAATGGGGCGTGGTTCCTGGGTGTCAACTTCCAAATACCCAAGAGTTGTCTCCAGTCTCTGTTGAGACCTGGAGCAGGAAAGAACAGTGATGGGCTGGTTGCTTTTGGCTTTGCCATAGCTAGGCTGTTCTGAAACATTGCCTTAGGCATGGAAAACCAGCAAAAGCATTAAGTCCCTAGTTTCCAAGGTGGTGGCAAGAGGATGCTGGAGCAGGTTTCCTGACTTGAGTAATGGGGTGATATTATTTTTGAAAACCCATGAGTCTGTCAGCAGAGCTAGGGCTGAAAGAAGTGGCGAGGGGCTGCTCTGAGATGAAAACCACTGCTGGCACTGCTCTTTTTGTCTTTGCCATGCACCCCCGCCACGAGAGCCATGACTGCAAGTGAGCTGGAACAATTGGAAGGTGGCTTTCCACCTGTAAAGAGCCTTCCATTTCTGCTTCCATGTTCTGCTTTAATTCATATCTCACCCTTCAAAGTTGAGCTTCCTGCCCTCACTCTGAGTAGTTTCCTAAGACAGCATGCAATGGACGCCATGCCTTCGTCAAAAGTGTACCTTATGGCTTCTGTTTTCACCTGGTTCAGTAGCCGGGCCTTCACTCAACATCTGAGCATTGTCGAGATGTTGCGCTGTTTACCTTCCAGGGATCTCATCTGGATTTCAGGCATCCTAAGGGTATTTCTGTCCTGTGCACTGCTGGCACTCCACACCTCCCCTTACCTGTAGCCTACTGCTTGTCTTCTTCCTTTAGGTTGTGAGAAGGTAAGTGATCAAGTCTGGAGCTCACCTCCCTGTGTTTGGATCCCACTGTTACCACTTCCTTTGAGACCAAAGGACAACTACTTAACTTTTTGGTGCCACACTTTTAACTGTGAAGTAGATAAGAATGAGACCTGTCACTGGATTGTGAGTACTCACTTGAGGATCTCAGAGCAACTCAGCAGAATAAGGCCTACTGAAATACATGCTGCCATTTGATATGAATTAGCCCTGCACTCCTTCTAAGAATGCCCTTCCCACATTTTTAATGATCAAAATACCATCTTTTCATATTTAGCAAAAGTGTTTCCTCCCCATTGAAGAAGACAGTCTACTTGCAAGCTAGAATGAAGCTTCTTCTGGGTCCATTCCTCCTTTCACAAGTGTTTCTTGCCTCAGAACTTGTACTTTTCTGGCCAGACAGGTATGTTTTTCCTCAATAGCAGAAACCTAGCCAGCATGAGATGTGCATCAACCAGGCCTGCATCCTTGTCTACAGGTTCTGTAGGTTCTGTCTGCATACAAACAGTATGGCACAAAGTTAGTTTCTCTTATGTTCTATATGACTAAATCATGATGTATACTAGGAAAAACTCAATGTTTCAGTGAAAATCAACCAGGAAGCTATCCAAACTTGGCTCTCTTATCAGTCCTTACATATCTGCTAGGTAGTGGTCGTAAGGTTAGAACTCACAAAGGGCTGATTTGACATTTTCCCACCTGAGGAGTCTAGGAGCAGCTTAAAGTTTCTACATGACTGTGGGGGTCCACAGAGACTCCATAGTGAGGCCTTATTCCATCTTGACTCAGGCTCAGAGTCTGAGTTTTCATTGCCCTGCAAGGCTGCATAATAGGATGTTTTGGCTAAAGACATGGTTACCATGTGTCTTACACTTCAAGCCCTAACTACAAGATGCTTTGCCATATGGCATGATTATCAGGAGTTTTGAAAATTAAGGAAGGGTCTACACTTGTTTGTACCTTGACCTTGAAAGGGGAGGCCTTTTGCCTCTCCCCTTGCTAGTGTATAAAAATCCCACTAGGAGTAAACTTGAGGTGACTGTAGTATTGACCTAGAGTTCTCACGAAGCTATCCTGTGTCTCTGTCTTTTTCTTTGATTATGTCTATATTTTTTCATATCTATTGTTTCTCAACCCTCACTCTTCCCTTCAAGGACTATTTGATAAATGGGCTGGGCTCTGATACCTGACATGCATCCAACTTCCTCAGAACCCAGACAGACACCTCACTAGCCATTGGGAACCCATAGAAATGGATGACATCTTTGTCAATATTTCTGATGGGTATACTTTCATCATATTTCTTATGGGTACTCTTTCACCATGTAGCCTCTTTATTTTACATAAACTTTTTTCAATAAAATATTCCTTGTGAACTTTATTTCATTCTGTATTTTATTTTATTTGTTCTTTCTGACAACATATGTCTCGTCTTTTCTATTGGACTATAAAGTCCTTGAGATAGAAAAAAATTCATTCTGGTATTTACTTTCAATTACTTTTAAAATACGAAAATATAAAAAAAAACACTGTTAATCAAAATCTTAAAATACAGTGTGAAATTAAAGAATATGCTCCTTTCCGTTCCTCTCCATATCGCCATTTTCAAATGTATTCTGCCTGAAACTCCATTTCCTTAGTTATTTCTTCAATATCTGCTTTTCTTACTCAATTTTCTATTCCAGCAAAGAGACACCATGATAAAGGCAACTTTTAGAAAAGAAAGCACTTAATTGAAGGCTTGCTTACAGTTTCAGAGGGTTAGTCCATTCTTATCATGGCAGGGAGCATGGAGTTATGCATGGCAGGCATGGTATGGTGCTAGAGAAGTAGCTGAGAGCTATATCCTGATCAGAGGCAGGTAGACAGGCAGGCAGAGCAAGAGACTTGGCCTGGCATGGGCTTTTGAAACCTCAAAATCCACTCCCAATGACATACTTCCTCAAACAAGACCACACCTCCTAGTCCTTTTAAGCAGATTATCAACTGGTGACTAAGCATACAAATATACGAGCCTATTGGGGGCCACTCTCATTTAAACAGTCACACTGCCTATCAACTATCTATCTATCTGTCTGCCTATCTATCTATCTATCATCTACTTATTTATCTATCAATCATCTATCTACCATATTTATCATACCTATCTATCATCTATCTATTCCCACCTTATTATCTGTACCCATAGTGTATGCATGCAGACCTACAAGAACACACATACGGTTCATAAATGTGAAGTCAATTGGGTTTTTTTTCCCCAATTGAATGTTGTATCATAGTCATTTTCCCAAGTTGTCCGTGGTGTAACTCACTTTTAGTGATGGGCTGACCTCCTAGAAGTGTAGTTACTAAGTCAAGAAGTATGAGCAGCATTTAGGGCTAGCAACCCCCCAAATTCTTCAGCAGAAACCTGGCTTTTCCTGATTGAACACTCTCTTAGATTAGCAGGATCTGACTGTTTCATGATCACTTTGCCTTTCCGTATACTGTTTGTGCCCTGTGAGTCTTGAATTCATCATTCTCTCTACTCTTTGCCATACCCAGTGCTTTACATATGGCAAGTAGTCAATGAAAGTCTGATGTAAGAACGAAGGAACCTTCAGGAAGCCTAGTATAATAGTACCCAATCAAGACCAGGCCCATCTGCTCGGCAGACAGTATATGTAGTTCAGGGACTTTACATGTTGCTTTTAGGAAGTTACTGAGCTGTTTTTGTTTCCTCAGTTTCCCATGTATCCAGTAAGTCTATAGATGTTGGCCTGTCTCCCAGAGACCCTGGGAGGAATCTAGTATTCCAAAGTGCTTAATGGCCCTGCTCAGTAAATAAAAGATGTCATTAATATGCATGAAGCTATTTCATCAAGAGGCCAAGAGAACAAATTTAAAAGCTATCTTTAAAGAAAAAGAACTAAGCAGCTATTATCATGCATACTACTAACCACATGGAAGTCTGTAGAAGCCCAGACAATGGCCTCCCAGGGGCTCAGAACACTCTGCTGAAACTTAAGGTGACTCTGGTCTCACTGCCAAGCACTGAGTGCGTGTTTCAAGAAGGAGAATCATCTACCTCCAGACTCTCACAGGCAGGACAGGAATTCTCAGCACTGCATGGCCGTGCCTAAGGGCCCTGAGATGATGTGTCTAATGGCTTCCGAGAACTCTGTCTAAAAATATGAAGAATTAGGTAAGAAACAGACAGTGCACGGGCAAGAGAAAAGCCCAGGAGGATTTATGCTTTGCCACCATTCCAAGGTCACATTTCTACTCATCGGCCTGAGAAATGGAGAGTGTGGTTAAGGCAGAGACGTTAGCAGTGAGCGGAGTATGTTGTGCTGACTCTGAATGACGAAGATGCTGAGAAAGGAAGTGGGCGTGTTCTGGGTTTTGTCTAGCCGTATGACCTTGGGGAAATCTGTAAGTTCTCCATCTAGAACCTATACTGCCCCATGTCCACGGGTAACTAGAGAATCTGCAGATTTCACATGCTCTCATGAGCAGAAGGACTAGTGTCTTACTCTTGAGGTGACTTTTCAGTTATTCAAAATCTTCTACCATTTGGTCAATCTTTACTTCACATACCAGAAAGGAACAAAGGGTAGTGTGGTGTGCACAGTTGTGAAGGCCTTATTGAGTTGCCTTGGTGTCTGTTGTTACCAGAGGCATTGCTGATGACAACAGCCCCATATCACCCCCATGTTATTTTTATAGGTGAGTTAATGCATTTTCTGTACCAGTCCCAGGTTCTGGATGCACCAATCTTCTCACTTGTGACTTCCCACTCACAGCAATGAGTGGTTTCACTCAGACACCCACCAACAACACGATTTCTAGGCTCACATCCACTTGTCCCAGATCCTGGCATTGCGACCATTGTTCCAGATGTTAGAACATTATTTTTTCACCAAGAGGCGTCAATGAAACTATCTATTACATGGAAAAGAGGATGTTTGGAGTCAGAGTTCCCTTGATTCCCAGGGGAAGCGGACATGTGTAGGAATTCACTCTTTAATTCTTCAGCTGGTTGTGCTTCATGTTTTTGAAAGGGTACAATGGCTTTATTTTTACCTAATTAGGAGAAGTGACCTTTCCTAATGGATTAGGGACCTTTCTGAAGGGTTCAAAAAAAAAAAAAAAACAAAAAACAAAAAACTCTGTCTGCCTACACAGCCAGACCAGATTTTTCAGTAAAAACATACAAGTGATGGTGAAGGGACAAATAACACTAAGAGTATTAGCTAAAGCCTCAAGGAATCATATTATTTTTACCTAAACTGTGTGAGTGCAATTGCGCGTGCATGCAAGCATGCCTGTGTACGGTCTGTGTGTATCTTAAATCAACTATGCCACTTGGGTTGTGTGGTGATTTGAATGAGAATGGTCCCCAAAGCTCATGTATTTGAATGCTTAGTCCCTGGTTGGTGGAACTGTTTTGGGAAGGATTAGGAGATGGGACTTTGTTGGAGGAGATGTGTCACTGGGAGTGGGTGTTGAGATTTCAAAGGGCCATGCCAAGTCCAGTTTACTCTCTCTGCCTTCACCCTATGGTTCAGGATATAAACTCTTAGCTACTACTCCGACACCATGATTGCCTGCCTGCTGACACATTCCCTACCATTATGGTCATAGACTTACCCTCTGAAATTGAAAATAAGACTTCAATTAAATGTTTTTTTAAAAATAAGTTGCCTAGGTCATGGTGTCTCTTCACAGCAATAGCAAAGTCAATGAGACAGGCCGACGATGTTGCCCCCAAGAGCCATAGACTATAAAACCCCAGTACCAAGGGATTTTATTAGATAGTAAAAACCCCAGTACCAGGGGATTTTATGAGAAACCTTCATTTGAGTTGTTAATCCCAAGTGACTCCCAAAACAATATAGGCTACAGCCATTGCCCTTGGTTGCTTCACAGAGGATGAAGAGAAGTCCCTGTTGTTGAAGATACCACACACTTTGGACACAGGATGCAGAAAATTCAAGCTGGATATAATCTGAAAGTCTCCTTTCTGAGGTTTAGTCATAATAGTACCAGATGATGCTATGAAAAGTGTAAAGAAAGGAAAACAACCAATAATTCTATCCACCTATAATGCCTCTGAATCATAACAATGATTAGCATGGCAACATATCCCTAAAGATGTAATAGTGGCACTCATATCTTGGCAATAACCAATAAGTCTAATTTAACTTAAAGTCTACTCAACAGGAAGGAAATCATTCCTGGTACTAGAAACTTATCCAACTTCCTGGGGTTATTGGGGCCACAGATTGTAGAGGAGAACCTATTTCTGCCACTTTATTCAGCCAGCATAATTCCTAACTATATTCTTGAACTACTTATAACTAAAGATAACTGTAGCTCTTATCCTGTATCAAAAAAAGCTTCTCTTTACAGAAAAAAGAC